TGCCGTGAGGATACAAAGTAAATGGGAAAATGCTTTGAAGAGTACACGTGTAGGCGTAGCATTGTCTGTGTTTCTCTGTTTTTATTTGAAAACACGTTTAGGAGAGGCTCTGAGTCTATCCAGGCACGTGACCGGCGTGAGCCATCCAGCGCCCCTCACTAAGGTGACATCACTCCAACCCAAGGCTGGTACACCCGCCATGCAAGGGCCCCCAGGGAGCCCTGAAACACCGAGCCTAACACACACCTCCTGAAGCACCCCCACAGAACCGACAGTCCCGCGCCCTCAGCCTGGAAATTATGGATTCGGTTCGAATTTCTTTATTCCCCGTGTGAGTAAAGCAAGCAAAGCTCAGGGGGTTAGAGGAACAGAGCCAGAGTCGCCTCAGTCCCCGGAGAAATTTGCCACCCTGAGCACTTTCCGTACGCATCCCTCCCAAACCTCCTCCCGGGAAGGTGCGCGGCTGCCCGCCCAGGCCTGTGGCCGGCCCCCCAGACCCTTCGTTCAGAGATGGCCAAGTGGGTGCAGAAGGCAAAGAGCCGGCTCCAGTCTGGGACCCAGAAGGGCTCTGGCACGGCCAGGACCGAGCGTGCCCACTCCCGTCCCTCTGCGCCAAAGACTTAACAACTGGCCCTCGCTTACCAAAACGACTCCAAAACCCAAAGAGACGCTCCAAGGCAGGGACAGGGACAGTGTGAAGGGCTCCTAAGAGGAAGCTCGAGGTTCTGTAAGGACTCCCCAGCCTTGGACGACCACAGGCTGGAATCAAGAGAAGCCAACCCACAAAGGCAGAGACTGGCGCACGACGGCCTCCCTGTCTCCACGCGCCCGTCCACGGCCCAGACCGCCAGCACCAGGGCTGCAGCAGAGAGCTAAGGTGAAGGCCAAAGTCGGCAGGGCTCTGAGGAGCTACAGAGGCAGAAACCGCACGAGAGTCCATCTCATACTCACCTGTGTAGACGCCAGTGACAATGTCTCCTTCCTCAGGACGGGGGCTATCTGGGACCCAGGGCTCCTCCCCTTGTTCCAGCCGGAAGATCAGATCCGGCTTGGGGATTGGGTATCCTGGCCAGGAGAAGGACAGCCAGCAGCTGCAGGGCCGCTCTGGCCAGGCCCGCCCGCACCCCACGTGGTGCCATCCCAACACCCCAAGCCCTCCTCACTCTCTCGCCACTCTTCTCCCTCCTTCCCAGGACCAGCTCTCCTGCCTCCCAGCCTCCACTCTGGGAAAGCCCACCTTCACTTCTCTAGAACTTTGCCTTGATACCCCCCAGCTCTTCTGCAGGGCCCCCCCACACCTTCCTCACCCCTCTCCTCTATCACCTGACTCCTCCCCCCTGGAGGCCCCTGGGGAGTATACAGAACAGAGACCACAGCTGGACCGGTGGCTCCCAGAACACATCCACCTGGCTCACGGCACTGCTGGACCACAGTGAAGACCCCAGAACACAGCCCCACCCAGAAGCCAGAGTGGTCCCTAAGGACCCCCAAGAGGTGGGCTGGATCCAGGACCCCCTTCTCCTAGACCCTGGGGTTTCAGAAGCCACTCTCTCAAACAGCTAAGCTGCTGGCAGTCATCACGTAGGAATGCCTCTTGGGGACGGAAGGCCCCCTGCTTACCCAAGGACACCAGGATCCCATAGTTCTCCTGCATGACATCCTTGTAAAGGTCCCGCTCGCCTGCGTCCAGCCTCTCCCACTCCTCCAGCGAGAAATACACAGCCACGTCTTCAAAGGTGACCAGCCCCTGGAAAACAAAGAGCCCTGGCCACTGCCTTAAGCTGCCCTAGGAGAAAGGCAGGGGAGCCCCTAGAAAGAGAGCGACAGAAAATTACTTCAGGAAGAACTGCCCGTGGACCTGCAACATGGAGCTCACGGGGACACAGCCCAACAGCCCAAAGCCCCAGTGGCACCGAGGGCTTCTGAGCCTGGCTGCACCCTGGAAGGCAAGGACCCCACGTCCATTCAGAGGTGAGGAACCCAGGCTCAGACGGGGTGAGCACTCAGCTTGTGTGGGGCAGAGCCAAGACTCTCACACTGAGGCCAGGAGACAATGCAGCTCAAGTCCACGGCCGTGCTAAGAGGTGGTATCCTCCCCTCCTATGTCATCGTCCAACCTAAGCCAGTAGTCGCATCAGCAATGAGAGGGCCCACACCTGGGTGAGTATGTGGCATCGACTGATCTGCCTGGGCTCGGCAGGAAGCCAGAGCCCGGCCAGGCGAGCGGCACTCCAGGTGAGGGACCACAGCCCGATCCTGGGACAGAGCCAGTCCCCTGAAATAACTACGCACAGAGCAGCTGAGTAAGTGGCAGTCAACACACTCAGGACATCCCAATGGCCTGGGAAGTCTCGGGCCCCCGGGAAGTAGAACCATATCCCATGGCTTTGCGGGTAGAGACCCCCAGCCACGTCCTGCTGCCCCGTCCCTGCTCACAGCCTGAGCTCGCCCTGATGACCACGGCGCCCCTGCCTTGCCAACAGGGCTCTCCAGGACAGCAGGTGCCAGGCTTCCCCTTCAGGAAAGCCTGCCTGGTTAACTGAGCTCCAAGTGAGAAAGCGGCTCACCTGAGACCCAGCTGTCAGTGAATCGTCATCATCTTCCTCGTCCTCGTCCTCCTCGTCCTCATCCTCCTCATCCTCATCCAGGTCCTCATCCCTAGGTGTGGCTGGAGCCTGGCTGGCCTGCAAGGCTGAGGGGAGGATCTCTTAGGGACCTGCCCCCGCCAACAGGCCTCATGGCCACCCCTGCCCAGACAGCAAGTAGGTCAGGAGCCCCCACTCCTCCGTTCCAAAGCCTGGGTCCTGACGCTCCAGCTCCACCCTATCGGGCCAAAGAGCTCTCCCGATCTGCCCTCCCAAGCTCCCTCACCTCCTCCCCCGAAGCCAGCTCCTTTTTCTTACCCTTTTCCTGAAGAACTGGGGACTTGGCATCACCGGCACGGTGAAGGCGTCCCTGGGTCCCCAACGTGGGACTCTGCTCCTCTGCCACCACCTCGTCCTCGTCCGCCTCCACCTCCACCTCCACCTGCTCCACGTGCCCTGCCTGCCCCCCCTCCTCCTCTTCCTCCTCCACCACCGCCTGGTCCTCCCCGTCCTCTGCTAGGAGCTCCTCCTCCTCCTCCTCCAGCTCCACCTCTTCCCCCTTTTCTTCTTCCTCTTCTTCCTCCTGAGCAGGACCACATCCCAACCCATCCTCCGCCTTCGCCAGCTGCGTGGCTGGTGAGTCCGGGGTCGTACGAAGAGCTGCCATCTTCTCCGGAGGAAAGCCTCAGCTCGGCCTGAAACACAGACGGGCAGCGGGGATGAGCCGCCCCCACCCCCCGCTCGCTCCCACGCGCTGCTCCTCGGGCCTCCCTCTGTCCCCCGGGAGGCAGGACTTATCTCCCCCACTAGATAGTGACACACCAAAGGAGGAAGGACCGAGGCTCTTCCTGTGCTCTCATGAGGCACAACTGGGACACTCTGTGCCCAGAAAGACTAACCACAGAGCCCCTCTCTGTGACCCCATTATGCAGCCTCAGCTCCTTCTTGCCAGAAATTCTGTGCAGGGCACGAACTGCTGTGCCGTCTAGGAGTAAATCAGGGATTTAGCCTAGGTCTTCATCCTCAGGGCCTGTGAGAAGCAGGGGGTCCAGGCCACATGGCCGAGGGTGGCCCACATCTGGCTGCAAGGGGCGAGTGCGGCCTGTGAGCAACAGCCCACCTCCATCCGGGGGACCCACCTCTGCACACCGACACTGTGCCAGCAGGGGTGCGGGAGGAAAGGCCCGGGCTCGGGCAGGGGTGACAGGTAAGACAGGCGGGCTCATTCGCCACCGCCTGGAAGGCAGGCCGGTCGGGCTCCTATTTGCCAGAGGCAGCGACACAAGACGTCGTGGGTCTGCGCTGCCCCCTGCGTCTCCCTGGCCCCTCACTCCATCCAGGGCATTCGGGAAAAGTTCAGCAGCTCGTGGAGACTTGCTTCATCGCCGGACCAGCAGATACAACCTAAAATGCCCTTTAACGGCTCTTCAAGTTTAAGGATCAGAGAATCCCAGGAGGGAACTGTCAAAGGCCCAGTGGCTTCCAGGGTGCCACTCACACCAGTGTCACAGCTGCCTCAGCCCAGGTGCTCCGGAGAGAGAGC